CAGGCTAAATTTTTTTATGGCAAAAATCCACAAGGGGTTAAAACTTCCATTTCCCGGGGGGGGGGGGGGGGGAGGGGGCGAGAGGACGGCAGCGCCTGACAAGAATCTTCCCCAGCAGCTTCGAGCCTTTGGCTCGCCGCAAGCGTAAAAATATGTGTGAGGCTCTGGGAAAAGTAAGGGGATACCTAAATGGATCGCAACACAGAAAGCGTTGTCCCCCCAAGCCTGGATTGAAGAGGGCCAGACACGTTCCAAGAAAAACACAACAGCTCTCCCGCAACGCCGCCCACAACGACTCAAAACAACGAAAAAAGACTTTTGACGGTGCGGACGTGTCGACCAGAGAAGACGCAAGTGTTCCAATTGCCTGACGAATGCCTTGACTATAATAGTCATATGTGACAGGGCCGATTTTTCACCACCACCGACAACAAGATCAACGCCAGCACAAAACACAGTCACGAACAGCAAGGACTTAACACGTCCCCTTCGGCTACTGTGGCTACATCGCGAACGGGTACAAGTAGTTCCTCTCTAGTTTGTATGTACATTTCCTAAAGAGTGGGATGACCATTGGACGTCCCTCTCGGCCCACCTTCGCGAAGTCGAAGCCAGGGTTAGCGCTGATCGTCGACGACACCTCGCCAGCCTCCACCGCGCTGATGGTTCCCTCGTCCGCCTTGAGCGCGTAGGGCAGGTCGAGGATCGAACCGCTGTGGCAGCAGTCCATCACCACGGTCAACGTAACTCCCTCGGGCAGGACCATCACCAGCTGTGTAGAGGCAGAAAAAAAATGAGGGTTGCCTTTTCTACGTCAGGTTTCTGCGGTTTGGAAAATTACGTTACATCGAGTAAGTGGAAATCGATGGGCCAATCACACGCCGAGGATGCCGTTGCCACCAACGACACGCGCCAGCGCGCCACACAACACTTCTCGTCAAACGCCTCCGATATCCGTCCGCATCGATCGAACGGTTCAGCGCAACGCACGCCAGAGACCACGCCTCGTCAACCACCTCAAAAAAAAAAAAAAAAACAGGACTACTGTAGCATATACAAGAAAACTTGCGGGTGGCATGCATGGGAAACAACCGACGCCCCAAAAACAAATAACGGCCAACGAACCTCCTTGAGGATCTCGTCGTCAGTGATCTGTCCAGACGACTTGTAGTCGACGGGCACCAGCGTCTCGTCCATGTTGTCGGCCTCATCCCCCGAGGTGTCCTTCACCGAGCCCCCGTGGCCTTCATTTCATTTCATGACAAAGAGAGAGAGGGGGGAGGGGGGGAGCAGTCACGCGCTATTGAGGAACCCTGGCTGACAAACATTCACTCGCCGACGGAATTACTGTCACAATATCCGCCAGCTATCCACACACAGCACGAAGAAGGACGTCATGTTCATACAGTCGTGGGCCCGATACAAGAGGGCGGTGTGATAAGGGCCCTCGACCCTCTTATATTAAGGGCCCTCGACCCTCTTATATGGGAGCCCCGTCTAATACCGGAATAAGAGAGTACCCAACCAACTGTAGCGGGCCAAGTCCGTGACAACCAATTCGAGGCTCATATATCGGAGCCCCCTCACATAAGGTACCCTCTTTAAATCGAAGCCGCGTCTGTACTTCTCTGGGAATACCCTCCAGGGGGCACACATCGTGTAGTACGAACGAATGCACGGTAATCTCAGCGTGAAACCGCCACAGATGTGCAAAAAACAAAAAGTGACCCTCGCCCACACCCCCATCCTCTTTCCACGGAGAATCCTCACCTGAGTAGTGCATGAAGAGAGAGTCCCCCGCCTTCGCATCCGCCGTCAACCATCTGAAAACAGCGAGCAACCCATGCATGCGATGCGAAGAACTGGGTGCGGTGTTCGTCTACCTCGAGTTCTTGGGCGGTTGTGATGCAACGCGACGGAGGGTACGAGGGCAAGACCATATCCCTGTTGTATTCCTATCGACTACAAGTACGTACCACCACCAGCGCTCACAGCCCGAAACGAAACTGAAGTCGCTCCGGGAAACCAAACCAAGCACTGACATAGAGACGAGGAGGTACCATCTGATGGCGGGTCTACGGCAACAAACACAGCAGCAAGCCGTTTCGTTCTCGTACGCAGTGCTACGGGTCGCTAGCTGCACTGCACTAGCGGCAAACAATTTCTTTGTGCTACAGCAGTATCTGCCAAGAGGGGCGGACGTCCGGCGTGACCCATCCCATCCCTGCACACTGCTTCGTCCTGAAGGCCATAAAATATCATATATATATGCATAGGGAGTTTCAATCAATTGGGAGATTCAAACATTTGGTTGTTCCAATCGTCAGAGTTTCAAACATTTCCAATTGTTTGGTTCGCGCGTCGACCGTGCCACCTGGGGCTTGTCTATCGGCAACATCCAGCAGGGGGCTACTAGCTTCTCAGGGCGTCAAGCTAGCCGGCCTGATGGACCAGTTCTTCACTGCTGTCACTTTGCCGCCAGCCCTTCAAGGACCAGAGCGTCACCCGGCTGTGTGACGTCCCTTCGTCGTCGACCTCTCGCCAAGAACCACCCCGTCCCAATTGGGCAAGGACAAGATGCACCGGGGTGGCAATGGGAAAGAGCTCATTCCCAAAGGTCACCCAGGTGCGCTTTTCCTTGGCCCTTTGGGAGGGGGTGGTCACGGTCATGATTAGAGTTCGACCACGCTGGAAGGTCACACAACCGGGCGATGCTCTCCAGGGGCTGTAACGTGCCAGAGCAGTGAACAACGGATCCGTCTGGCAGGTAAACGTGACATCCGTATGGATGAGCTATATGGTTCCTTGCTGAGCATTGCCGACAGGCAAAAAACCAGGCCGGCTGGTTCAAGCGCCATACAATTGTACGTAGCATGTGTCCTTGGTTTGGGGAGCACTGCAGGCACGCGAGAGTTTTGCTGAGCAATCTGCATCACCCGAGTTATCCGGCCGCGGTCACCCGCTGGCGGTGTTACGGCGGGGCTAAGCGCCTCCATCAACTTCGCCGCCGGCGCAGTTGCCGTCTGCTCTAGTGAACTCAGTCCAGGATGGAAACGCCTCTATGCTGCGCTCCGTGGGGTACAGCCTGTACCGTACAGGTTGTACCCCACGGAGCGCAACATAGAGGCGTTCCCGTCAGGAACGAGGGTCACCACAGCGACGGCAGCTGTGCTGGCGGCGAAGTGGATGGAGGTGCTTACCCCCGTCGTACCTGCGGGCCGAGAAACTTCCGGGAAACTGTGCAAAACAAAATCCAACAATAACAAAGGAGGGGCTACGTTGGCGTTGCGCGTTGTTTAGCCGGAAAATGTTCGACTCCAGGGGGGGCGACGTGTTTCTTCGAAGGGGCGCCACCGTTCGTTGCCGCCTTTTCCATATTGGAAAACCGTTTACGTGACAAATGTGTGCCGCACCTGAATCCTTCGATGACGCCCTTGTGGTCGGGCATGCCGTGGACATTGTCGTCCATCAGGACCTTGCAGTCCGCTGGATCCATGCTGTACCCCTGTAGACGAAAGAACCAACAGAATACTGGCTTAACGACACGCGCCAACACACCGAAAGGCTCTAATTCTGCATGCGCACCACAGTCATCCGACTACTGCACCCACCCCGCCCTATCGGCAGAACCGTTTGGTTAGGGTGTCCGTTCGCGTTGCGTAGGGAAGCGTGTCCGTTCGCGTTTCTTTTCTCCCTATGAGACTTGACGTATTTTCATTGGTCAGCCGGTCAGTGCGGTCGGTGCAAAACATAACAACACACACATACAATATGATGCACCACAAGCGTTTTCGCGATAGTGTCCCGCTTCAAAACCAGTGCCTCTTTCCATTGGTTACGTAGCGTGGAAGATGGCAATTCAAGAAACACAAACCACACGATACACGGGCATCAAATCAACACCTCCGCGACAACATAGCGTCTCGGTCCATGCTTCCTCACGTGGGTGGTGATGTACTTCTTCATCATGTCCACGTCGTTGTGGCAGCCAGCCAGCTCTCCCTGCTGCCCGATGTAGTTGATGCCGATGAGCAGGCACTTGGTGCTTCCACCACCCTTCCCACGTCGAATCGGACGCAGGGGCGGCAAGGAACGCGCAAGACGAGAGGGAGGAAGAAAAGGAGCACAATAAGCCGAACGTCAACGAGGGAAACAGCAGCAGCAGCAGCAGCCCGACCAGCGGCCACAATGCCAATCACACAGCAACAAGCGGGCGGTCGCCAAAGCAACACCAACAAGAGCGAAACGCACGAAAAAAAGGCAAAGGCCAACGCCACATCCATAACCCAAGATGGCTCGGCATCCAAAATACGCAACACGTGCATACGCGTACGCAGCTTCGGCCCAAAACGTACCGCGGTGTTGCGGAGGGAGAACTTATCGTTGACGTCGATCTCCCGCGACGTGCTAAGCTGCGGGACCTGTTCGGGAAGAACCAACATAAACCAGGGACATCCACGAAAGAGAGAGGGTAGCAGCAGCAGCAGCAGCAGCAGCAGCCGGAGGGAGATAGACATCAGCAGAGAACAACGAACAAAAAGCGAAATGAACGGGCCAGGAAAAAAACTCCACACCCCCAACTCCTCATCCGGAATGAGGCATGTGGGAGTAAAACTTTGTGTCTCGTGCGTCTATTGCTGTGCCATGCATCGTTTTGAAAAGCACGTTCCGTTTGCGGTCGGTGTCTATCTACATGTACATTTACAGATCGGTTGTTCGTTCGTTCAGATCACACAAGGAACGGGAGACTGCACCAAGGACAACGAAACAATTATACAGTACATATATTTTTTACATGGTGTCGTACATTCAGGAATTTTTCGTGTTGTGGCAACAACAGACCACACGAAACAAAAATGAAGGCTCACCGACCAAAAATGCAACAACTCTCATGCGCACACAAAAGCATCGGGAAAGCTGAAAATGTGCGAAAATTTCCGGACCACGGTGCATTCCACCCCGATACCGTCAGCCATACAGAACCTCTGCGACAAGCACCCCCCACCCGAAGTAGTCAGAGTTGTACGGTACAATTCACGCACGTGATTTGAAGACGGTGACAACAACGACGGCCACCCAACGCCGCATACGACACAAACAACAGCTCACAAAAAAAAAATCCTATACTGTAGTTGCCTCACAGCCGAGCAGGAACCAAAACGTCGCACGACATTCCTGCAATGTTACGCGTATCGGCTGTTTCGAGGAGATAACATGAATGGGTGCATGCCTTTCATCGTCACTGCTTTGAACAAACAAGCCTTTCCCGCCACAGAGATTCTGCCGAGAGACGGACAAAGAAGAGTACAGCGGAGAGCCCCAACGACATCGTCGACCATGCTGCATTCCTCGTTCCTCCCTCCCGCTGGTGCAGGAGAACGAAGTACAAGTTAGAGACCAAGACCCACTCTACCCCATTGCTTCCAATGACGCTGTCGCACCTGAGAGAACCTCTTGGTCTTGAGGACGGATTGCATCCCCTTCAGCAGGCCCAGCCACGAGTCGGAGTGCTCGTCACTCTGGCAGGAAGGGGCGATGTGTACGCCAACCGAACACACGAGTGGCACCAAAGCATCAGCATTGGCGCAAGAGTCAGAGCTAATTATGCACAAGTAGCTTGGTGCGGAATAGTCAGGCTGGCGGAAGTGTCTGCACACCGAAAAGCACCGAGCGCACACCGTTGTGGCAGCAGTACAATTGTAGAGCTAGCCCAACTCGAAGAAGAGCAGTCAGGATGCGCTCAGCACTCGAGGCCAGACCTCGGTCAACGCGACTTCCAAACGATTCCCGTCTGTGAGTACAGCAGCAGCGTCAGCAACGCCCACCTACCACCCCCATCTACGCTTCTTCTTTCTTCTCGCTTCAAACGCCAATTTTTTTTTTGCCACAACCATGCATCGATGCAACCGCGAAACCCACCAAGGTAAGGAGCATGGCGTTCGTGCAAGCGCCGCCGGCCCCGTCCGCGTCGGGCAGCCCGAACTTGGAAACGTCCTTCACGTCCGCAGAGGTCTGGCTGTCCATGCAGCCCGAGAACATACTGGACAGCACAGCAAACCCATACACACGACAAACATGAGCGCCACTGACGGGTAGCGGCGTCCCAAAGTAGGGAACCTCGCAAAAAGCCTTTTTTTGTCACTTCAACATAGTAAAGTGCTATTCGGGCGTGTTGCTTGATACAAGAACAATGCGAGTTCCGACACAAGGCAGGCGAAGGAGGCAGAAGAAATCCGCCATTGATGCACCTATCGAATCGACTGGAGGAAGAAAGTGGTGCCATCTACATGTCTAATGCTGTCGACGATTTTCGCTTTATCGCAGCCACAAATCATGAACCACGTACCAGCATGTACGGGGATGATGACAACAACCACAACACGCAACACACAAAAAAACGGGGCGAAGACGAGCCGGCAAGAGAGTGGTACCACTCAACTGCAACGTGAATGATGGCTGTGCGTACACACTACACACAGCACGGGAATAGATGCCGCAAGAGGGATCATTCTCTCGTGTCGTGAGAAGACATTTTTGCTGCATACCCTTTCTCTACTACCTAGGTAAATTCCGAATCCAGATGCTGGGCTGCTGCCCCTGTCGCCCAACCTCCTTCCTCCCTGCACCGGCTACTTGCTGTCGGGGGAACCACCCTACCCTAACTACTATAGAGAGAGAAGGCTCGCGGCTCGCGTCTTTTGTTGTCCCGCAATTACTGGCATCGTTTTTATTGGTCAGCTGGTTAGCGCGTACCACACGCAAACTATTTCGTGGCCGCAGATGCATATTACTTGTTTCCAGAGAAAGCGACCTAAACGCACCAGCAGCAGTTCCGGGGCAACTTTTCGAAGGTTCAAACGAAAAACAAGAAGGGCTCGCCTAGCGACCAAAGAGGTGTCCCAATTAACCACGGCATGGACATGCTTCCCCCGTGTGGATTGATTGCTCACCACCAAAGTGCCGAAGCGCACGGGTTTTTGGTTTTTGAACTAGCTTTCGAGGCAAAGACGAACAGATACTTGCACGGCGGCTGGCTGGTGTCGGCGTTGAAACTTAAACATATTACTTGTACGAGTTACACGTTTTTGTTCATCTTTACAAATGCCAGCTACGAAGAAGTAGAGCATAGAGGGCCCACAAATGTCACAGGAGGACTATTCTGCTATGCTCAACCGTGTGAGAACATTACGACACGGCGAGATCACATTATCGGCGTCCAAAATCTTGAAAAATCGTGGAAAAACAGAACTTTCGCTGACTCTCTGGATTCAATGCTACTATCTTAGGACTCTTTTCTTCGATAGACATGATCGTTGGGTGATACTATGACATCTACACTACACTTTGATATCTCCGAGCTATTTCTGTTCGGACGGACATAAAACAACCAAAGATGAAATAAAAAACCTACCGGTGTGTAAGCGGATCCTTGAGGAAAAAATACGTAAACACACAGAAATATTACCCGTTCGAGATACAACAACCGATGTACCAGTACAGCAGTCGAAGGGCATGTGTTGAAGTAAGTCTTCACAGCAAGTGAGTCTGCTGTCATGAAAAATGAAAAGTGTACAAGATTTCAAAATATGTCGGAATTAACACGCGGCGTCATGTACGAAGTATTAAGGAATAATAAAAACACACACAGAAAGACCACCCATTCGAGATATACCCACAGTCGAACGGGATGTGGTGGAGTCTTTTCAGTGAACGGAAGAGCCCCGCAGGGCAAGCCCTGGTCGTATCCTGGCAGTGTACGTACATTTTGTCGATCGTTCTGTCGCTAAACACGGAACATCTTCAACTTCAACCAGACCGGCGCGTCGTCAGCCTTCGTCATCGTAACGACGGGCCATTTTTGTGGGTGTCCATCCACCCACAAGGGTTAACGCGGGGAGAGCCGAACATCAACTTGGGAAGGCGGAACAACTTCGACATCATTTTTTTCATGACCCACAAGTGTCCCCAGGAGGAGGGACGACAGCTACAACTTTTAAGACAAACGGTCAACTCCGTCCGTGGCCACAAAGTTCTACCACGATCCCTCCGCAGCAGACGGTGGCGACGGCAAGTCGTTTATAATTTTCCAGTTAACCCATCCACCCATTCACCCATCGATCTGTTTGCTCTGCTGCATACCCGCCCACAGGGAACAGCTGCCTCTATTTTTCGCGAACACTCTTTTAACAAAGAGGTTTTGATTCGTCTTCTCTTTCTCGACACTGGTGCCAGCGGAAGGAAAGAGGGAAGGTGGGCAGAGACAGGCACCACCAAGCTTTCTCGTCTCTCACCGGACATCGGCCTTGATGGCCTCAGCAACCTTCTTGGCGTAGGCCTCCGCATCCTCGGGCGCCTGCAGCAGGCAGAGAGAGAGAGAGAGAGAGAGAGGTTGAACGACAACGCGACAAACGGGCACGCAAGAGAAGTGGTGGCAGTTGGATTTTCCTCAAAACACGAGCAGCAGTGGAAGCAAAGAGAACACGTTTGAGGACCGTTAAAACTCACCCTAGTTCCCGTCGCAGCTGATCCACCGCCAGATGCTGACTCTTTCTTGTCGCCCGCCATAGCCTCGTTGACTGTGGAGACGGTCGGCAACACGAGATGAGAGGGTCAGCCCACACGGGCAGTGGGTGAGGAAGGAGCCTTCTCTATTTTGTTAAAAAAAAAATCGAGAAACACAGGGAAGGGGCGGCTGCCGCTCACTTTGCTGCTTCGCCATCTTCGTGCAGCTGGCCTTAATCGAATCCATAAATCCGCCCATGGTGGCTGCTGGTAGTGCTCTCGGATGCAGGTGTGCGTGTGTGGGGAGACAACAGCGAAGGAAGGAGAGAGGAGTGCAAGCAAAAATAAAAGGTGTGCCGTGTGGCCTCTTCTGTTCTACAAATAAATGCTGATCTGGCGGGGGCCGGCACATTATTCTTGGTACATCCCTACCTAACATCTTGGTTGGATAACCCCCCGCAGCTGCGCCTTGCTGCGACTTGACTTGCTGCGGCTGTTTGAATCAGCTTTTGGAGCGCGCAAGAGGCCGGCTGCGACTTCGCCACGCCACGAGAGTGTTGCTTCCGTGTTGCCCATGATCGTTGTGCTGGATTCCCGGCGGCCGTCGTCTCTGGCCGTCGATGTCAACCTGCGGTTGGAGGTGTTTCTAGGTATGACTTTGGCCCTTGCCGGAAGAGCCGCCGCAGCAGTATCTACAGCAGCAGTATCTTGCAGCGCGTTGTGATGGGACTTTACCCAGGCTATGCTACGGTTGCCGTTGACGACAAAGTCTGGTTCATTTAGCTGAGTGGGGTGGGTGGAGAAGGTCGTCTGCGTAATGCTGCCACGAACTACCTGACCCTGCTGATCCCATGCATATTGCCTCAAGAACGGTTGCTGTTCTTTTTTTCAGCTGCTTGGACACGCAACACATGTTTTCGGTTTGAATCTCAAATTTTCGCAGCACATGAGCTCGCCTTTCAACACACACACCAGTTGTAGTCACTGCTTGGCAAACGTGTTCTACACCCAAGGATGGTATGTGCCTAGTTTCACCGTTATTTTCAATCCACTTGCGCCGCGCTGCAGAGAACGCGAAGCAGCTGCTGTCGCGTTGCTGCGCTCTGGGCAGAGTGCAGCTCGTGGATGCGCCCTCCGGACTGATCGTCCCCACCGGCAGCCAGGGCAAGATGGTGCAAGTTGTCTGCCGAGGAAGGCCCGTCACCCCCGCAGACGTGTCGTGCGCGCGATTGGTACGTCCCCACCTGGTCCCCCCGTGTCATACGCACACTTTGTACCTCGCGCGGTACCCGGTGTGTGTGCTACATAGGTATCGGTTTGTGTGGAGAGGGGTGAAATCTCCCAACGAAAATGTGCAGATCGTGTTTGCCAAAGCTGTGTGCCGTGTCCGACAGAGGTGTACGGTAGGTCACCCAATACGGCAGGTCACCCAGTACGGCATCCCCCACACGGTGAGGGATAACCAACGGCACTGCAGCATGCCAGCTGCATCCAAACGAATGTCGGTGCGGGGCGCTTCTCTCTCTCCTGCGTGTGTGGGGGGGGGGATGGCCGCCATCCCCCACCCGTCGCGCAAACGCAGCAAGCAGATAGCCTTCGGCAAGGAGGCGTTCATATCGTAGTAAAAGACAGGCATTCCAGGCTGGCCAGTTCTTTGCAGCTCCCGCGCTCCGCTCTCCCCTCCTGCTCTGTAAATGGAGGCCGCGCCAAGGTTCCGTTGGAAACCACCTCGCCCGTCCGGTCGCTTTGATGCCTCCCTCCCCACAGGTAGATGTGCCGGAGAACGGCTACGGCGACGGGTTCGGGTGGAAGTTTCTGATCGACGCCACCCTCACCGCGACCAGGATCCGAGAACGCGCTCTGGAAGAGGTGACTCCCACGCCTCCCCCCATGCGATAGAGCATGGTCCCACAATAAGAGACATACTTATTAACGTGATGAGGGCATTGTGCGGGGACCTACTACAGCTATCTCAGGTTTCGCGCGTCTGGAGAACACCCCTATCCCGTATTCTCCAAGGTCTGTTGCTCCGCACTAGCGAAAGGCGTGCGCGCCGAAAGAGGGTAGCACGAGAGATATTGCGCCAAGAGCTTTTTCCAAAGTTCGTGTTGACGACGGGTTGGCGACTCGCCTTTTGGTTGCTTGCCAAGGCTGTATCGAGGTTCGGAAACCGACCCTCGTCAGAGGCAGGATGCTGCGCCTCCGCCGTTTGTGTGCCCTGTTCGACAGATGTTCTCGACTGGTGCAATAAAATCATACGCAACACAGAGACACCCAACCCAAACTCTGCCCATCGCCAACGCGCGCCACTACCACCCCCTGGAACAATCGGAAACCTCGCGTGCGTACGATCGATGGGTACATGCACACACCAGATAGTCGTCCTCACGACCGACCTCATGCTCGCGGGCGAAGACTCGGCGAACGAGGCTCGCTTCTTCTCCCAGACCGCCGAGGCCCTGGGGACGCAGCAGGCCCCGCCGGTGCCTCGCATCTCGCTGGTGTTCGTGGAGGTGGTGGGCTCTTCTTCCTGCAGCGTTGGTGGGGCGGGGGCGTCGGACCCGCTGACCGGGTGGAACGGACTTCAACGGCTTCGGGAGGGGGCCAAGGACCGGGGCAGGGCGTTCGCGCTCGTAAGTTTTTCGTTTGTTTGTCACAACGGGACCTACGTGCACTAGTGCATGAACGCAGCTCCTGGCTGGATATTTACTCTTTTTCTCTCTGTGTGTGTCTGTCTCTGTCTCTGTCTTTCTGTCTCTCTCTCTGTCTCTCTCTCTCTCTCCACCTCTGGGTCTCCTTGTGAGTATCTCTCTCTGTCTTTCTGCCTGCCTCTCTGTCTGCCTGTCTGTTTATCTCTCTCTGTCCCTGTCTTGTCTCTCTCTCTCGTACTGAACTTCCACCCGGTTGCCTGCTGCAATCAGTAACATTGTTTGCCGCAAGCAAGCTTCATGCTTAATGAACGAGCTTTAGCGTCTTTGAAATGGCACAGACGATCAGGGGGGTACCGTGATATGATTGCACACTAAGGGACCCGTGATATCCTCCGCGCGTGTTGCTCCGACCGCAAATATGGATGTTTCAGACACCGAACGTAACTATGGTGAGGAAAAACAATAGCGGTGGTTGTCATGTGAATATACAATTCACACAAACGCTTCACCGACGTCAGATGCTTCTGCCTCCGCTCATTGCTATTGTGCCTTGCCTGTCCATCTGTCTACGCCACAATGGCCTGCAAAAGGACCTCATCGATAACACGGCGGCCATGTTCGATTCCCAGCTTCGGTGCTGGCTGAGAGACTCTTCCCCGCGGCAGGCCTGCTCTCTCCGCTTGCCGGCGACAGAGACCTTCAGCGGCGTCACCATCGAGGTACATCGGTCAAGATCGCCTGGTTGTACCTAAATACTATCACAAATCCAGATATCTACGTTTGTCATATGAAATCTCCGCCTCTGCTAGGTACCATGTTTCGAACCTTACGGCCGTCAACATCGAGCGGACTCTCACGAGAGAGGAGCTTGCACCTGATCCACTCAAGAGGCTGAGTCCATTTTTTGCGAGAATTTCCTCCTCGGTCACGACCCGCGAGGTGCGTGTTACGTGCGCATCCTACCTCGTTCATCTGACGGCGGCTGGTACAGCAACTATAAACTTCACAGCAACCAGGCAGCATGTCTTCTTCATGACTCGACCCCCTCCCTCGCCCCCGCGCGCGCGGCCCGATGCGCACGCACTGTACGGCGCGCTTTGTTGTTGGACAGGTGGAGATGACTCACTACCTGCTGGACCAAAGCCGGGTCTTGCCTAAGTCGTCGCCCGGCTCCCCGGCGTCGCTGCTGCACAAGGGGTAAGTGCTCTCTCTTTTGTCGGTACTGTAGGTTTTGCACCATCGCGGAAGGGGTCAGTTGGATGGGGACGTGGGAAGTTTGTTTCGCTTGGTGCGTGCGACGGAGAAAACCGTCGCGTGAACGCCGCCTGCGAAAGGTGGTGATTCCCCCCCCCCACCCCACGCACCCCCCCGAATACAACCTGTTGCTGATGCCGTTCTTTTGAATTCGTCGTGTTTTCGTGCTGCCGTGTGATACCATCAGGTTTTCCAATATGAAGGTCGTCCAGGTGAGACGCACCGGGGACGGTGGGGTGGGGGCAGAGGAGGAAAGGGTATTGTAGCCGGCTGGCCAACGCATGGAGCGCTACGTCTGCTCCTGTTATTGTTTGTTTGGTCTTTGGTTGTGGAGCGCGGTCGAAAAGAGAGGTATGGATCGGGTCGAACGGGAGGGTGCTGCCGGGGCTCCCTCTCTCTTTCTTCTCTCTCACTCTCACTCTCTTTCTTCTCTCTCACTCTCACTCTCACTCTCTTTCTTCTCTCTCACTCTCTCTCTCACTCTCTCTCCGTCGAACCACCTGGTGCAACGCGGGAGAAAAAATATAGGAGAGCGTTGGTTCGTGGACGATGCCATCAGCTTTCACGAAACGTTCTATCGCAAATAGAAGCAAGAGAAGATATTGTCAGTATGAGAAAGTGCAACTCCGCACCGGTAGTGAATGAGGTTTTGTTTTGATCTATCGTTGGTTTCCTTGTAGTTCTCAGAAAACAGTCGCACAGCCCTCTAGTCACAAGGCAGCGTGTCCTGACATGGCGTGTGGTCACTCTCGAGTATACGCTTCGTGGGACCTGCCTGCCCGATTGGTCCGTGATTTCGTTCCGATGAAACAATGCTACGGCGCCACTTTCTTCATTGAAGGAGAAACTTTGGCTTGTATCCTGCTCCTCATCATACGTATGCTTTTCTAGCATTTCGCGATTTTTTTACGACAAGGCGACCGAACTCCGCCCACTTTCCACGCAGCAAGCTTTCACGAAAGAAGGTGGTCGGTTATATTTTTTGTTGTTGTTCCGCTTTTTCTTCTTGGTTCTCCAGCGGAGTGGATAGAAAGTATATATACATGTCACTCGTCGCAACCCTCCCTACTCTGTAACTGAACCGATACGTTCAGTCGGCACGCACCTCACCTCCTGCTATATCGTTGAAGACGGCATCACTACCACCGCTGTCCGCTGTCCCCCTTTGCTCTACGGTGACGCAAGCTTGTCGTTTTTTGACCCCCCCCCCCCCCCGGGGGTTGCCATCGGGGATGGGTTTTCGTCGCTTGGCAACGACGTTGTAAAACGAGCCACCCCCCCCGGTGTTTGCCATCAGGATGGGGTTTTCGTCGCTTGGCAACGACGTTGTAAAACAAGCCACTTCACTTCGTGAACTCGGCAACCAGGTTTCCGGGTTTTTTTACCTCTGTTTTTGTTTTTGCGGTAACCATGAATGGTGGTCGAGTAGATCATGTTGAGCGGGGTCGAAAACCCTCACTCCGCGCAAGGGGGATGATCGCACCACGATGTGTTAAAATGGTCAAGCATCCTCGAGGCAGTTACACAGTGCTTACAACTGTCTCTGGAAGTGGAAGCACCAGAAAATAAAGTGAGTCATACGCAGCTGTCATCCCTACGCAAGGAAGCAAGCACAAGATGCCGAACACCCTTGTAGCAGGATGCAGCGCACCCTTCATGCGACTCGCCGAATACCTCACGGCGCTTCGCGCTTGGTGATGTGAGAGCCTGGTCCGGTGAGAACCCGACGTGCTCCGTCCCGGCTTTGTAGGGATGCGAGGTCAATGGTCTAACGACTACGGCATGCACGACTATGAGTACCCCCCCCCCCCCCCCCCCCCCCAGGGCGTGGTATTGGATACCTTGGACCAGGGGTTGTGTCGGGGGGATCCGCTACTGTGCATCCCGTCCCGTATCCAAGGGTCCCGTCAACACTCCCAGGCCAACAGGTGAGGTGTACGGACACAAGGCGTTCCTTGGAGATATAGGCTCAGCCCCTGTTTTCGCCCATACCGATCGCCTCGCGCTTGGTCTTAACGCGTGCTTTTCGCGCGTACGGACGCGTAGAGGGAAGCAAACGCCATCGACGAAGCAAACCGTACTGACCCGCCATCCACACGCCCACCGACTCATTCGGCGTTACCCCCCGTCGCCGCCGTCACCGCGGACCTTCTCCCCTGTTGTCGCTGTGCCTCTCGGGGGGGGTCAGGAAGCTGTTCATGGCAGTGTGCGCCGAGCTGAACGAGCGCGACATGGGCCTTCTCCTTTCCCTCCGACACCCCTCCACTTCCCTCGAGGTGAAGACCCACCTATTGATAGGGCCTATGGATGGGGAATGTATTTGCTTTCGTTTCTTGAAGATAAACGAAAAAAAATACCTCTGTCGATCAGTATGACAGTAAACTAGCGGTGGCGCGTTTTGGTCAACCGGTTGCCGCTCATAGGGTAAGAGGTTGAACGCCCAACTACCTGCGTTGTCATTGTTCTACGCTTTCGCTTCTCGCTGGTGATCGTTTGGAATGAATGTCGGGTGGCGCTACCTAGACCCCTGTTTGTCGAGGTGGGGTACAAAACACGAGGACCAACCTGGAAATTTACGGCATGGATGATGCGACCTCATAGTGCGGACGCAGCCAGGACTCGGGACGCCGCTTGACCCCCCCCCCCCTCTCCCCCTGGGACCTAATACGGTCGCAGGAGCGGTGGCTGCTGCTGCCCCAAACCCCTCCACAAGACCCCGCTGCTGCTGCTGCTGCTGCCCTCGGCGCACCGAGAGCGCAACAAGGGGGCCCCGCGGATGCGATGCTGGCAGACAGGGGGCTGCTGATCCGCCTGGCGACGAAGGAAGAGGTCCTGGAGGAGGGAGAGGCGGTCGAAACAAGCGTGAACAGCATCTCGAATGTCGCGTCGGAGCTTTCCGTTGAAAGGGCGGCCGCTTCCGCCAGGTACCCTCCCTCGTTTCTATGTTTTTGACTAAGCAAGAAGTATATTTTTTTGCGTTGATGTGTGTGTGTGTGATATTTTTGGTATGCAGAAATTGTCTCGTTTTCGGTCACGGTTCTTGGCCCCCATGCTACTTTTTATCTATCGAATCTTTGCTCTAACGTTTGTGGCGGTCGGTCGAACAGAGGCGACGTGTTGGTGAAAACGCCCACACAGGAGCAAAACCGCATAATAACGGCGTTTTTCGTTTGTCTTACGCTCTCGTCCCGAACGCCTCCGTCTCCGGCGTGTCCTCGACCTCTCCCCACCCTACCCAATGCATCCCACCGCGGCAGCCTCGAGGTGCTAGACACCGGCACGTACAATCCGCTGAAGCACTCGAGCGGACTGTTCGAGTTGCTTGCGTCTCAGCGGCACCAGCCCCAACAGGGGCGCACTTCTACTAGCGGCACCGTGGCGGCAGCGCCGAGAACAGCGAGGGCGGCGAGCAATGCTGGCGCTGGCGTAGGCGGCGTGAGTGCGAACCGCAGGCTCGGCTGCGACCCAGATCGGGTGAGCGAGTCATGGTCGAGAGATAGATCGCGTAAAGTATGGTGGATTGTGTTGATCCACCACCCTGTGTATGGGTGTTTAGGACAAATGAAAAAATCAAGAGCTAGAAAAATTCGGCCAATTGGCGCGCGTAGAATGAGTCCCGGAAACCGTGGAAGTGAGTCATCTACGGTGAGAGCTCCGCACGGACGCTCTGTCTTTTCGGAGTCTCGAACCTGCTTTTTGTCGAGCCTATGCGTTTATTGCCTGCTTCAATCAAAGGATTGGCTTGACAGCCACAACCTTGCATGACGCTCGTTAGGTGACAGGAGTAAATCATGTCGTGCTGAGCACTGCCACTGTTTTTTTCTTGTTGTTGTGTGGATAGGCAAAGCTCGCGCTTTTCCATCGGACTTTCGAAGTTCTGTCGTCACTCACCGAGCCCCCAGAGTCTTTCTTTGTTCGGTTGTGTGTGTCCGAGATGCGGATGCCGGCGTCATCGTCGACTGCTTTCCCGCTACCGTTCCAGACAAACAATAAACTCCTTCGTAGAGTTTTGTCCACCTTCCTCTGGTTCCCGCTCTAGACCTCGCAAAATCCTCCGCATTTTCGATCCCCCTTCACCCACGTTTTGCTTGTATCGCCTACTACTAGCAGCAGCAGCAGCAGCAGCAGCAGCAGCAGAAGCAGAGGCGACATCAGAGTTCGCCGTCCCTCTTGTCAGCCACACTTCCGCCTTTTTCATCTTCATCCAGCATGCCGCGGAGGGCCACAATAGGCGGGTTGGGGGGCAGTACAAAGGAGGCAGCAAGAGGGACCTCTCAACATCAGCAGCAGCAGCGGCAACCCGCCAAAATGCGGGAGGTCAGCCTGAGGTTCGCAGAAACCCCACAAAGGCAGCAGCAGCAAAAACAACGACAGAGTGGACGGGGAAAGAGCCCTGCTACGCGGGGAGGAGACGCGGGAGTTCGAGTTGGAGGCGGCTGTGGTGGGGTCGGAGGGAATCGGGACTCAAAGAGCAAGACCGCTGTTCCCACGGCGGTGACGAGCGGCGGCCGATCAAGCAAGCGCAGCGGCGCGCCTCAGGAAAGGAGGGGGAAGGCGAAAGCTGGCGGCAGGGAGAGAGAAGGGGGCTCGCGCTGTCGGGGTGTTAGCGCTGGCGGCGGAGGGGGTGGTGGTGGTCGTGAGGACGACGACGACATGATGATGCTGTGATGGTGACCGGTCCTTTGGCATTCGTACATGAATCGTGAGCGATAGCGACCTGCCCTGTACAGGGTCCCACGTGTTGAAGGCGTGGAGTTCATCCATCTCACTATGCATATAGGACGAAGATCTCCAGCGTTTTTATTGTTCTGACAGACACCGCCGGCGGCGTGCCGTCCCTTCTCAAGCAACAACGCCTCCACGACCGACTTTGCTACGACTGTCGGCGGCGTGTTGCTTGTTCGCCACGCTGCACATCACGCAGCATGGGGATGTTGATGTACTGGTCTAGTGTGTGGACAATTGATTGCGTTTCATTTTTTTGTGGTGTCGACGAGCCGTGCAAGTGCCGACACATACATACGTGCAGCCAGGTGTCTTCTTGGCGGGGGTTGGTCGGACATATGTAGCAGTTTGTCTCATTATGTAAAGGAGGCGGGTTGTTTCGTTCTTTGCATTTTCCGCGCTGACGGGCGTACCGCCGAACAGATGTCACATGGGTCTCAGCGGGTGAATAGGCGACGGCTGCGATCCGATCGGGTTTACGTGCGCATGCTGTCATCATAGACACACACATGGGGGTGACGGTGAACGGGGTTGTTTTGTTTTCACCCCTTTTCTGCCAAAATTACAAGACGGTGTGAGCCTTTTTTAGACTCCGAAATTGGTCCTATTTAGTTCGACTCTGAACTTGGTTGATGGCGGTGATATAGCTACAAATAGACTGAGGTGTTAGAAGTTAGAAAATAAACGCAACAGTAGCCAGACTCGGTGTACGGTGTACGGCGTGTTTTACTGTGTCCAAGGCGCACCACACTGTAAAAATATGAAGGAAATCAAGACGGCACGAAACGAAATGCTGGAGCACTTGGAATGTACAGACAGGGTGTGCTGCTCTTCAGCTCTTTCGTCGTTTTCCTCACGAAGATGCCGTTTGAATTTCCAACCGTTCGCAGCACAGCTCAGCGGCACATAGGCTATGCATATCTCTCAACAAGAACCAACGAAACGAGCACCGTCGTACTGCAGGTCATCATGTGATCTATCTGTGCACGACCACATCATCATCCGTGTGTGTTGCAAATAATAGAAACACGCCCACAAGGATGAGAGAGAGACAGAGACAGAGGCAGAGAGACAGACAGACAGAGACAGAGAGCGAAATAAGGTAAAGGAGAACGGAACGGAGGAAGGAAGGGAACAGTCTACAATTGTACTGTGGACTGGTGTGGCCGGAATGTGATTGATGCTTGTAAATGCGCAGAGACTTCTGTGTGGATCAAAGAGACGGGACGAGGCAGGGGCAAGACGCCAGCAACAGCCGAACAGCCGCCATCCGAAAAAAAGAACAGAACGAACAAGGGTCACATGCCGATTCGGAGAGCGATGACCCCAAGTTTCCGGTTCCAAAATAAAAATTCCGCCGCATTTTGTTCAGATTTAGTTTTTCGGGCATCGGCCCACACCCTGTCATTACCACACCCTTCTCTCTCCACCCTGTACCCCTCCCCTTGGAAAGCCCCAACCCTGCACTACCTTACGAACTACTGAGGAGGATCAACCCGTCCATTGCAGCCAGAGAGAGCTTCTGGAAGCCGCGTACAGCAGCAAACAACCACCAACTTCGAGAATACACTAAAGCAGCAGCAGCAGCAGAAGCAGCATGTCGAACACAGCAGCAGTATCCTTGGCGGCGCTGTCGGTCGTCCTAGGCTTGACCACCACGCCTTGCTCAGGTGGCACCTCCCTGCGCGGATCGGCCATGACCGCAGACACCGTGGTGGGAAGGAGGGCGAGCTACCGCGGCGGCGAGAGTGGTCTTCTTGAGGCCGGGAGCAGCGGTGGGTACCAACATCTGGAGGTGCATCCAGCGTCGGCGGCCAGGAAGGGCAAGAAGAACGGCGGCTCCAAGAGGGCTAAGAAGAGCAAGGAGAGCAAGAAGGCCGGACGCGCCAAGAAGCCTAAGAAGAGCAAGGTCGAGGCTAACAAGGGAGGCGGCCGCAGGCTGCTACAAGCGTCCGCCGACGGCGCCCTGCTGCCGGCGTGCTCTAGCCTGTTCGTTCCTACGGGGGCCGGGGACGAACTGACCGGCACGTACGACTTCCAGGGCCACTACAGCGACCGGAGGCCGGTCTACGCCGCTGCAAACGGCAACAAGTTCTTCGCGAAAGATGAGGAGGGGGTGCCTACCACGTGGTACATCACCCAGGCGTCGCCCAATTCCAAGTTCTTCCTGTCCCTCGAATCGGCCGTTTTCGAGCCGGCCGACCTGAAGGACCCGGAGGACATGCTGCAACCCTGGGTCAGGAACAACGACCCCACCTGCGGGTCGTGCATCTCGAAGCTCCACATGTCGTGCTCCGCCTGGACCGCCGACGTCATCGCCGCGGCGCCGGTGACCACCACCCCGGCGCCCAATGACCCAGTCCCCTCTTCGCCTGCGGAGAACGAGAACTCGACGATGTCCACCGCGGAGACCGTCGTCCCCCCGGCAACAACGCCGGCACCTACCGATCTCCCCACCGACACGACGATGGTCGACACGTCCGCGGTCGGCGGCTGCGCGAACCTCAAGATCAACAACGGCGAGGACCGGGCGGGCGTCTACTCCCTCAGCGGCGTCGACGGCGAGGGCGGGGTCGTCTTCCGGAACGGCCGGCCGAGCTACGCCGCCGTCGGCGCCGACCGGACGGACGTCGTCTTCTCCACCACGATGAACGTCTGCGCGTCCGGGTACGGCGTGGTGGACGCCGACTGGGCCGTCGGCGTGGAGTACCTGCCCCCGACCTCCACCGTCAACACCGTCTTCCTCATGTACGTGGCCGAGAACGTCGGCGTGGACACCGCCGACGACGCCGCCGCCTCCTCCGACAACGACGGCTGCGAGGTGCCCGTCTGGCTCCTGGTCGCGGACGGCGCCGAGAGCCTCGACGCCGCGGGGGAGAACACGTTCCTGTCGGTGTCCGGGGTCGACGACCCTTCCGAGGCGACCTCGTGGGCCAAGTTCACGCCGGCGACGAGCACCACGCGCCCGACCCTGGAGGAGAACTTCTGGATCGACTTCGGCTGCGCGGATGCCGGCGAGGTGGAGGAGGCGTTGGCAGCAACAGCGGACACGAGATACGGTGGGGAGGAAGAGCAGGGTACTGCTAGCCTGTCGAGCAACTCTACCGCGCTGGTGCCGGTAGGGTCGGAGCCCAACGCTCGCTGGCTGTCCACCATGTTCGCTTTGTGAAATGCGGATCGTGGGGGTGGGTGCAGTCTTGTTTTACGCCCGGCGTTGGGTTGAATGGAGGATCGACGTAGAGTGATGTATCGATTCGCGTGCGTTTGTTTGTGTTTGTTGTGTTAATTTGTTAAATGTGTGGAAATGTGTGGAATTTTTACTCGGGTTGGTCTTGGTTTGGTTGAAAAATGCAGCCCGTATCGTTCCATCTCACCAATCAATGTGTTTCGGTCGTCTGGCGTTGTTTGTTGATTGGTATTATTGTCATCCCTTTCTCGTGTTTTTATTTCTTCTGCATGATGCGTGTGTTAGTTTTGGCCCTTGGGCGAGGTTCCTTCCTTTGTTTTTCCGTTCGGTGCTAAGAGAGGAGGGATTTGTAACCGCCGTTTTCTCCTGGGCGTTTTGATATGCCCTCGGCTTTTGTTCTCAAGAAAAAAGCAGCGTCCTTTCTAAAATTAGGACCAGTGCTTTCTTTCATCGATCTGTTTGCCGTGAGTATGGTATCCGCAGTTAGTTGTGGTATTTGCTTGCTTGTCGGTGTATGGCGACGGTGTTGCTTTGTATCCGACGCTCTTGCAAAGGGGGTGGTTTTCACATTGGACCGCCTTAGAAAAAGTGTTGTGCGTGTGGGGCGGGCTTGCATTTGTTTGAAAATACATGTGTTTGATGTGGTTGGTTGCGGCTACGTAAGCGTAGCTCTTTTGATTAGAGTATTCTTGCGGCATCAATTTGTCGCCGGGCTCCGCTTCACGGTAGCCCGAAACGATGAGAGAGAATGGTTAATAAAAAACATATAAATAACATTTTTTTGACGTCCGTCATTATTGCCCCATGAAGTTGTTGCAATCGAGGCCGATGATGGCCCTTTGCTCGATTTCTTGGGCATGTATGCGGAGCGGGGGGTTGTTGCAACTTGCGCCTCGACGGCGGCCCGGCTCGCTTGCGTAAGGCGGTCGGGCCTGCCTTGCTCTCGCTCTTTTTCGCAAAAAAACGCGATCCATCATGCGAGAGAGACACGTTCATGTGTCCGCCAGAAGGAGCCACGACATCGTCGTGTTTGCGCCTTGCCTGATCCTCCCACTTGCTGGGTTTCAATTTTGTTCACATCATCGTAATATTTTGTGAACATTGCACGTGTTTCTCCCCCACAATTACATCTGGCTTAAGTCACCACAAGTAGATTTGTAGATTTTTCAACGTCCCGCCTACTTGCTACGCCGCTTCTGTAGAAAATTTCTGACCCTTGGGAAGTAAATCTCGATTTGGAGACAACTCATCTGTACTTTCTGTACACTCAACCAAGCAAGTAGTTAGTGTACACGCGACGGCAAGAGAACTCCCCCCCACCATCTTCTAGGACGGCCGTGGTGTTGATGGGCCTCAAATGGCACCACCCTACAAAATCACGATCGTACCGCCGGAGCAGGTGAAAAAAAAATGTTGAAAATGAGCAGGAGCACGCCGTGGGAAAAAAAAAACAGGAATTTTGCGGAATAGATGTTGGCACCTACCCACCCACGTGAGCTCTTGTAGAGAGTAGGGAGCAGGCACCACAACACAAGCTCTATTATGTGCTTCGCGCAAAAACGAGCAAAAATCCAAGGTCTCACCCTTCAAGCAAAGCCAGCCAGCTCGTCACACCGCAAACAGCGAGCACGCTCCCTACCGGTCTATCTTACCTCTAGACTATCGTAGTAAGGCATACGAGAACGTCCGCTTGCACATACATGGATGCCAAGATCGCAGCCCCCCCCCCTCCCCCCCCCCCCCCCCCCCATTCTTCTT